CCTTTTGAAAATTGTAGAGAGTGAAATCTTCAATTAAATTTGTTAGGAGGCCAATGACAAAATTCGGATGATTATGCTAGTATCATGACCGCAGAGAAAATAAAAGAATAAACATAAAATAAAGATTGCGAGACACAAAGACTTATAATGGTTTCCCTAATAACCTAGAGTACATCCATTATAGGGTCTTCAGTTGTTCCACTATGATATTTATGAAGAATACAATGGAGATCTCCGTAAATGTCGAGAGAATACCGAAAAGTACGTAGAAAATGGTGGATTAGCTCCTAGAAATGCGTGAAAATGGTGCAAGCATGAAGAATGGGCACCCTCCCTCTTCTTGGTCGTGCAAGGGCTTTAAATATAGATCTTGATTGCAGAATATTTGATTTAGAGCAAGTTTTCCCTTTGACTTTTGATTGAAGATTCTTTTCTTGTAGGGAGGTGACTTAGGGAGCAAGCCTAGGTGTAATTGACTTTCCATTTTACTTTTGTGGGTAACATCCCGCGATTTGATGTTGCTTTGATGAAGGAATCAGTGCATATTTTCATAATGCTGATGTGGCATCTATACGGCTCAAATTGTTTTCGGACGACTGAACTTGTTGTCAAGTAGCGGACTATTTCTAGCGACTGATTTTTTGATTCAGCCTCATTCTCCAAGACTTTTGAGGACATGTGTATAATGAAGATTTCATTTTTTAAGATTGATTTTATTTAACATTTTTGTTTATTAATGTTGTAAATAGTAATTATTAAAGATTGAGAAGAGTAATCTTGGTATTTTAAAAAAATTACTTGCTTCAGGGGTATTTTTATAAACACAAGGAATGTTTTGTGTATTTAAATAATGAAAGGAGTAAAAGTGGTATTTTACCAAAATATAAGGATTGTTACGGGATTATCCCTTCCTAAATACAATGGCACGGTATCACTATCACATAAGAGTTGTTCTATTTACACACATCTTTTTTCTCTCTACTCCCTTTTTAAATACACACTCCATGTAATTTTGAAATGGTTAGATTTAATTTTTACACATCCCTATTATTCCAAAACTACTAATAATTATATTCATAAAATAATTAGTTCTTGATCAATTATTTTTCTTTTCACACTCACCATTTTATTCTAATTCATAAAATTAACACTATACACCTATGCTCACCACCTTCATGGCATCATTGGAAGTCTTAATGACAATAACTAACCTTTTCCTCCTTCAAACATCATGAGTTAAATTAAGGCTTCTCAAAAACATACCCAGTGGCTTTACCTATAAACATTGCTTATCAATATTTCTTAGAAGAAACTCTAGAAAATAAATAACAAAATAAAAGAAAAAAAGAACAAAGAGGTTTTACGTGGTTCGTCAATTCGCTTACGTCCACAGATCAAATATTTTATTTATTTATTCTCATTTTCTGATGATTTATAATGAGTATGTATCTAGGTATATATATAGGAATGCTTCTCTAAATATACAAACCGTCATTGAGTGATAACTTTTTCTATTTAAAACATTTTTCTTTTTATCTTTGTAATTTTTCATCTCCTTTTTTAATACACATGTGAAGAAAAGAACAATACCCACACAATTATGGCTCAAGTCAAATAGGTGAAGTCCATAGAACCAAACTTAACTTTGAAGCGGCACTTTTCTGGAGTTGGGGCTGGCGACATGAACGACAGCGAAAGAAATGACAATGCTAGTCTTTGGCAAACAATCATGGGGACCAAGCAAATTGCATTCTTGGTTTGGATTCAAAGAATTTCTAGAGATTTGAAAATTAAAGAGGGTGGAGAAGGCGATTTTCTTGCTTTCGTTCCTAAAGGCCCATAAGATTCGGAAAAAAAAATAAATAAAGAGGTTTTATATGGGTTGACAATTCGCCTACGTCCACAGATCATATATTTTATTCATTCTCATTTTCTGATGATTTACAATGAGAATATACCTACGTATAAACACAAATGATTCCCCAAATATACAAGCTGCCAGTGAGTAATAATTTTTCCCAATTTGATATAACATTGAATGACAACTAATGGACAAATCATTAAATAATTATAAATCAATCAGAATAATTAACAAATCTCAACAAAAACTTGTCACGTTTTGCAGAAATCCCTCACCACATGTGGAAATTAACAATAAGAATGAGTGGCTGCAAGTATGGTGTTTGGATGTTTTTCTATAACAATTGATTCTTCATAGGGGCCCTCTTGGTTTCTATTTTTCACGGTTTTTGAGAATAAAAATTGAAAACGCGTATCCAAAAAGCGTTTGGTGTAAACTTTCCTAAAAATTAAAAATAAAAACGTTTTTGTCTTTTTTTGAAAATCTGAAAACGGTTTTTTTCCGTTTTTATTTTTCTTGTTTTCATTTTCCACTCTTCTGCGCACTGCACCCCCCGTCTACGACTGCCCGCCCCCCGTTTGTGACTGCGCCCCCCGGCCGCCACTCTTCTCCGACTGCCCCTACTCTTCTTCCTCTGTAGTTTTCATGTATATAAATATATAATCATGTTTATTTAATATATTATTATTTAATATATTAAATAATAATATTTAATATTATTATTTAAAAATTAAAAACGCGTATCCAAAACGCGTTTGGTGTAAACTTTCCTAAAAATTAAAAATAAAAACGTTTTTGTCTTTTTCTGAAAATCTGAAAACGATTTTTTCTCGTTTTCATTTTCTCCTCCGTTTTCGTTTTCTCTCATCCGTTTTCCTTTTCTCTAAAAATTTGATCTGCGCCTCGCCATTTGCTTCTCCATTTTCCTCTCGCCTGACCTGCACCATTTGCTTCTCGGCCGAGCTCCTCCGTTCTCTTCTAACCCGATTAGTTTGGGTTTCACGAATCACAATTGGGTCGTCTCTCATGCGTCGTTACTACCCACTTCACTTTGTAGTAATAGTTTTTATACTTTGACTCCATTTCATTTTAGAGAAAGCCAACAAACGCCAACTATGGAATCTCTCAAATTTCATCTCTGACCAACGGAACTTTCTCTCTCCTCTCTAAAATATCAAACCCAACTAACTTACAATCCAAACTTGCAAATACCCATTAAAGCTAGACCTAAATTACCCACACATTTTTCAGCTTCCACAACAAAGCACCTGAAAATAATGGCGAAAAAGAGGTCGCCGATCGAAGGCATGAATGAAGAGCTGAACAAAATAGCTTCACAGAACCTTGATTTCGCTCCTGCTCGCAGAAGGGTTCGGTCCGCTTTCGCTGATGTCCAGCAACAGCTTGATCATTTCTTGTTCAAGCTTGGTTTTTCAGTTTTGATTTTTTACAAGTGATCATGAGTTTTTTTTTTTTTTTTTGTTATGTAAAGATTTTTCTTATTAATATTTGGGTTTCTTAGGTTGTCGGTGGAATCGGTGGAATATATTATTATTTAAAATATAATTACATGTGAAAAATAAAAATAGGGTCTGACCCATCACACAGTCACATACTATAATCGGAAAAGGGCAAAAAAAAAAAACAATTTTTTTTGTTTAGGAAGGAAGGGTATCAAAAATATAATCGGAAAAGGGCAAAAAAAAAAACCTTTTTTTTTTTTTTTTTTTAAGGAAGGAAGGGTATCTTTTGATTTTGATTGAAATTGATTGAGGGCATGGTGGGATGTCATTATCTACCAACTCTGTGGAGAAATTCTAAGACAGCCGAAAGTGCCACCTGAATCCTGATTTATGGTCCCTACCTACTACTCTCCCACTTTCCAAATTCCAAATTTGTTATGGAAGATAAAACGAATAAAAAGGACCAAAACTTAAAAAAAAAACCTATTTAATTTACTAATTTAAGTTTTTAATTTAAATTGACATGTAATTTTATGTGAAAATATTTTACTATAATAAAAAAATTAGATATAATTGTTTCTGAGAATTTTTTACTGTAACAAAATTTAAATTCTAAATTCGAATCGATAAAATGAACAGAACTAAAAATAATACCAATCAAAATAATCAGGCAATTAACAACTCCAATAATAGTAATAAATTAATTAATGGCAGGTAAAATGTGCATTTGATCGCAAAATTCATAAAATTATAATAAAACTATATCACAAATAAAATACTACTCAAGTGTGACCGAATAAAAAAAAAGTTTTTACGGAAGGGTATTGATAGTTGTGTCAATTATGATATTTTTTGTTTTAACATTTATTTATTAATATCAAAACTAAAAAGCTCTTCTAATCAAAGTATGGCTCTTTAAACAGGTAATTTTATTCTTGTATATAATTCTAATTTTTTTTAATGGGATTTAATCGCAATTATAATGCTAATACTAATAATAGTATTGCAATCTAAAAAAAAAATACTAATGTCAAAAAAAAAAAAA